GCTGGCGAACCCCTCTCCGTCTCCGAACTAACCCTCACCGTCTCCCTCTGCATTTCCGCCCACTGTCGACCGCTCCCACCAAATATATTTGGTGTTCCTCATTCCTTGAACTCGTTGGCAGATGCTTAACCCCGATCTGCTCTTCCAAAGCCACAATAACCGACTCCAACCAGATCCGATCGTTGGAAATTAACATTGTCGGAAACGCGATGGTGGTCGGGTGGCGTATTTGATGATGTTAATGCAGAGGGAGCTCTTCAATTTGGGGTTTTTTGGGTTATTGGTTGCTAATCGCGATGATAAATAAAGGTGATAGCTTGAAAGCCATCATTTCCGGGAGCCTTCAGACCATTCATACTCATGATCACCTCTTTGACTTCGTCATTGGTTGGGACTCTGGCAATGTTGGCTGCCATAGAAGCTTCAATGTCGAGGAAGTCAACAGGTTTTGGATGACCAAATATCTTTCTCCTCTCTCGTGAAGAGCTCGACATAAAAATCTCTTGCCAAATGCTTAAGGTCCTCAGGGTTAGATTGCCACTGTCCATTGTCATCCTTGAGGCTCAAAATTCCATTCCTTTTCCTCCTTGAGATGGTGCTTTGATGGAAAAAGCGAGTATAGGCATCACCGAAGATCACTAAATTAGCTCGAGACTTCTAAATCAACAGAATCTCTTCTTGCCAAAGAGTATTCTCCATCTCTTCTCGGACTTCATTTTCTTTGGCGAGCGAAAGAAGCGAATGACTCCTCTCATTGAGGAATTCAAGGGTATTCAACTTGTTGGTCAAACTTCTTTTCCTTCTGAAAATGTTTCCAAAAATATCCTTGTTCCACTCCCCAAGGCCCAAGCTTCACGGAGAGATCCTGCAAGGCAATGGGAAACAAACATCTGCAATTCCACGAAGAAGAAAGAAAAGGAAAAAAATCGTTATGAGCAAGCCAAGGTGCAAGAAACTGGAAACGTCTCACCAGTTTCTTTTTCTCCGACTCTCTTTTGTTACCGGTTAAGATCGGCCTGTGGTCGGATTTGAGTTTCACAAGGTGGAGCACAACCGTTTGGGGAAACTGCTTCTGCCACTCCAGATTGCAAAGACTCTTATCAGTGTCTCCTTCAAATTGGATTTCCCTTTGAACCAGGTACACTGGGGTTCGGAGTATCCCAGATCGAACAACCAACACTCATAAATACAATCATTGGAGGCTCTAGCTTTAGCAAAGCTGAAAGGGGTGCCTCTTGATTTCTCGCCAGGTCTTCTAATTGAGTTAAAATTCCTGATAAGGAGCCAGGACTGGTGCCAACACTCATCAATATCAATAAATTGAAAAGTTATATAAAGTGCAAAGCAAAAAGAAATTTAAGTTCAGTAGTTGGTGCGCTAGCGACCTTAAGTTTAGTGAGTATTTTTGGCTAAATTGCAAGTTTGGTCACTAGAATTACTAAAAAGTGTCATGTTTGCCACTAAAATTAGTTTATTCCATTCATGGTCACTAAAATTGGTTCAACAGTTCAAGTTCGGTCACTCTCCGTTAGTCTCTGTTAACTTTCACTAATGTGGCAGTCAACTATGATAATTGACCGTTAAATACGTGACGTGACAAGTAACAAAATTGTAAAATATTGATTTTTTTTATAATTTCCACCTCATTATCACAGTAAATTAATAATAAATAAAATATGAGTATTATAATTATTAATTCCCGCTCCGCTCCCCACTGCAGCTCGGCGTCACGGAGCGCCACCGCCTTCTCCGATTCCACATCTGCGACTCGTGAAGCCTCTATACAAAGGCTGAGAATTCTATTCCATAAAGTATCATCTGAAGCATTCTCTAAATATCTCTACCTTGTTCTTTGAGACTCTGTTTCCCCACGTCATATGTTCTTTGTTCTTCTTTTACTACTTTGTCTTTTGTCAAATTGCTACTGCCACTACAAATAGATCTATAGATTTATGGGGAGCGGATAAAGTCATTACTATATGATATGCTCTTATTTAATACCATATGGTAAGAAAGTGTACCATGATGGTAGGGGTGGGCATACGGTTCGGTAAACCTGAACCAAAACCGAATTATTATTATTCGGTTCGGAATTCTGAAGGAGAATGTGCCAAATTCGGAAACCAGGGTTCTTTTGACCGAATCGAGGTTCTGAATTTCGAACCGACAAACCGAAACATACTACCCAGCCCAATAATCATCATAGCCTAGTCCCCCAACAAGCCCAAAAGACTTACCTTCCTGAGCTCAAAATCCAAATAATGAATCACACAACCCTAGCCCATGACCCCTCTCACCTCTCTCTGCAGACAACCAACAAAGACCATCTCTCATCTATCATCTCTCGCCTCTCTCCGTTGCCGCCTATAGAAGAGAATCCGAGTCAAGATATCCCAATCCTTGAGCGGCGTTGCAACTGGAGCCGATCTGAAGCAGGTTGACCTCGGCTAGGGAGGAGAGGAAAGGAGATCTACCACCGACGATTCTGGTGTTGACATCTTGGTCGCGACGTGCTCAACGGCGCCTTGTGGAGTGGGCAGAGCAGATCCGACGGCGGCTTGCGGAGCGAACACGATGGCGGCGTACCGCTTCCCTTCCTTCTCTCTCGGCGTTACTCCTTGCCGTTATAGCCACTTCCCTTCCTCCCCTCCATCTAGGTTTGAATTGATTTTGGTGGTGTGATGTTGTACGGGAAGATTGGTAAAAAAGGAGAGATGAAGAATTGGAGGGGTAGAAAATGAATGGAAAGGGAGAGAGGGGAATGGATCTATCGAAAAAGGAAAAAGAAAGTGAGAGGGGTTGCAGTCTTGCAGAAGGAAGATTAGAAGACAAAAGGAAGGAAGGGTTTCGGGTTGAGCATTAAAACCGAACCGAACCGATATATATATTTCGGTTCAAATTTGGTTTCGGGTTTAAATGAAATCGGGGATCCGGTATGCTCCATTTCGGTTCGGTTTTGACCGAACCGAACCGATGCCCACCCCTACATGATGGTATGAAGTATGAACATACCAATATGGTAAGAAGGTTGAATACATGATAGTAGGAGTATACTAACTGTCATTTACGATTTTCATCATTGTTTACTACAAGTTACCACAAGTTACCACCCACATACCATAGTAGTAAAGTATGGTAATTTTTGGTTCAATATTTTTTCACCCAGAAATTTGTAGATCCAATAGATCATGATAAACTCGTTCCTTTTGAGCAAACGTTTAAAAAAACGATTTAAAAATGAAGAAGTTACCATATGGTGGTAATGGGTGGTATGAAAAAAAGTTTGGGTTAATTGCATGGTTGGTCACTGAGATTACAAAAAATATTCAAGTTTGGTCATTAGAAATATTTAAATCCATTGGTGGTACTTCAGTTTACTGAAATCGTTCACGTTTGGTCACTCTCTGTCCAACTCCGTTAATTTTGGCTGAGGTGGCAGTCAACTCTCAAAGTTGACCGTTAACTTAATGACGTGGCAATTAAGAAATAATAAATAAAATGTAATATATTTAATGTCCAATTCATTTTTATCATAAAATAAATAAAAAATAAAAAAATATTATAATTAATACCTAAATCCCAACCAATTGGGGGTCTTTCCATATCGTGAACCACAACATTCCGTTGACCACCCTCGACGAAATGAAATCAGGGGTCAGCAGGTTCCACGAGCAGGACGCGGAACAGAGGAAGCAATTCTACACCCGCGATTTCAGCAGCAGGATCGTGTACAATAGCAACTTCGATCTCTACACCGGACCAACAGCCAACTAGAGGGACACAATCTCTTTCAACATGGCTCCCGACCCACTCAAGCCTGAGCAGTTCCCGACCGTGTGTGGGGAAATACTGGTAGAGTACTCTAAGAAAATGGTGAAATTGGTGGATTTGCTGTCGTCAGCTCTGGCCTCTCGGTCTGTGTTCCAATTACTTAAAGAATTTGGATTGCGTGAGAGGGAGTCAGGTGGTTTGCCATTACTCATTTTTAATCTCCACCACCACCTCCTCCTACGAGCTGGTCGTCGCTGCAACCCCAAGAGCGTCCTCCCGCGGCCCTCCCCTAGCGAGTGGTCCTCCTCCGAGCTCTCACCTACCTCGACCTGCAACACATGTTCTGGATAATTGACCGAGACAAAGACAACATCCTTTTGAAGGAGGATCTGGCGGCCGGATGGGGAGCTCCGACGAGGTGGCGGCGATGCTAGGCGAGGTGGGCCAAGGGGGACGACGGCGAGCCTCGTCGCGAATGTTCTTGTCGGCCGGGTACCGGGACTTGACAGAGTTGGAGGAAGGGGCGGGGTCGAGGGTGTAGGAGGTACAAGTGGGGAGCGACGGGGACGACGACAGGGACAGGGAGCAGAGCTAGAGATACAAAATTGGAGCTGGCTTGGTTACGGGGAAGGAGGATCTGGCGCCGCTGCTGGGCTTGCTTGGGAGCTCCGACGAGGAGGAAGCGCCCCATTCAATTTAATAATTACAATAAATTTTTATTTTATTTATTTATTTTATGGTAAAAATGAGTTGAATATTAAAATAGATTTAATTTAATTTATTATATCTTAATTGTCATGTCACTAAGTTAACAGTCAACTTTGAGAGTTGACTGCCACATCAGCCAAAGTTAACGGAGTTGGACGGAGAGTGACCAAACGTGGACAGTTTCAGTAAATTGAAGTACCACAAATGAATTTAAATATTTCGAGTGACCAAACTTGAACGTTTTTTGTAATCTCAGTGACCAACCATGCAATTAACCCAAAAAATTTTCTTGAAATATATTGAAAATTGATCTCATTTTGTAGAGCAGAACGAACTCGTTCCATCAGTGCAAAAAAATTGAAATCCGAGTTCGAATGAAGAAGATAAGAGCCGATTAAGAAAACTAGGGAAAATAAAATGTGTTTAATTGACAACCCTTAGATATGAATTTTATGGGCTCACTTAGATCTAAAGGTACATATTTAATTACTCATAGGTCACTAACCAATAGTTACTCACCCTATCCAAAGCCAGATTTATGAAGTTCTGCGTTGTGGTTAAAAGTAATGATTGTTACTAGCTATATATTTGTGAATAATAAAGAAAAGGCAATTATGGTGCTGAACGCAATTTAGACGCTTGGTACAAATTGAAACGGGCAGTTGAATCGGCTCTGCTGGATCGACAACTCGTACGCCACCGCGTTCCGCCTCACACCACGTTTGCGAACCTCAAATCCCCGTCCCTCGGCGCCAGGGTAATTATGCAGGCCGCAGGCGGTTGACGACCCGGGCTTCGCAGTCCTGGAATGGGCCTCTTTAAGGATTTTGATCGGGTCCGCCACGTCGCCGCACTCGATGACGGCGGCGAGGGCGTTCAGCATTAGTCCTCCGGGTACACGCACCGATCGATCCTTTTTCTCTACAGCCGTCCACCCCGTCTGTGGTAGCGGCGCCATTCGGTGCGTGGAAGATGAAGTGGCAATCCAAGCTCCTGCCATGGTTGGTCTTCGTCAGCTGAAACGTACTTGGCGACAACTTAGAGGGCGAATGCTTCTTATTGCCGCCGAGTTGGCTCTAAAGAAACCTGGATAGACTCGAGCTTCCTCAGTCGTAGATGTGGAATGGGAGAAGGCGGTGGCGCTTCGTGATGCCGAGCTACAGAGGGAAGTGGAGCTGAAATTAAATTATAATTATAATATTTATGTTTTATTTTTTTAATTCGCGGTGATAATGAGGTGGAAATTTAAAAAAAAATTATTTTATTATTTTATAATATTTTAATTGCCACGTTACATATTTAACGGTAAATTATCAAAATTGACTGTCACATTAGAAAAACTTACTAGAGACTAATGGAAAGTGATCAAATTTAAACTGTTAAATTAATTTTAATAATTATGAATGAAATAAACTAATTTTAGTTACGACCACCGTTAATTAAACCAAACTTGCAATTTAACCGAGTGTTTTTCGTAATTGACCCGCACCGGGAATGGTTGCAAATTGCAATTTCCCTTTCTCTCTCCTAGGTTTCTGTTTATCGCTCTCTCTCCCACTCCATCTTTTCTCGATTTCTTTCTCCTTATTTCTTCAGAAAGCCCCTTCCTTCTGCTGCTGGTTCGTCTCCTCTCCTTCTTTCACTCCTCCCAGCTTCCGTGTGAGAACGAGTCGGAGACGGATTTGGGGAACCCTAACTCAGTAAGTCTGTCAATTTCCTCCTCTCCGATCCGCGGAACTTCCCAAATCTCCCAAGAAACCCCCTCTCTCTCTGAGATCCATCTCTCCCTTCTCCCGATCCGAATCTCGATTTCAAATTCACTCGCCATCGCTCGCTCGCCGGGAAACCCTCTATCACATTCCTTCAATGGCTTCCGCGCCTGCTGCGAATCCGAATCAACCCAGCGCCGGCGGAGGAGGTGGCGGAGGATTAGGTAGTGGAGGCAGCGGCGGGTTCGACATCAACAAGTTGTTCTCACCGCATACTATGAACATGAACGTCATAGCCCCTCCGCCACCGCCTCAGCAGTTACAGAGTGGACTAAGCGGCGGAGCTGGGGCAGCCGTTTCTGCCGCCGCCGTCGCGGGAGGAGGCGGGGTGAATTTGACGAGTTCGCCGTCTTTCCCTCTTCCGGCTTCATCCCCTCCTCCGTTTAGTATGACGCCGTCGTCTTCTTATCCGCCTCCCACTGGTCCCTACCATCCTTATCAGCATCATCACTACGCGCCGTACCCGCCTCCTCAACCGACTCAGCTTCAGCAGCCCCACCAGAATCACTTCCTAGCTAACCTTCACCAGCAGCAACAGTTACAGCAGCAGCAGCAGCTTGTGAACAGGCCTCATCAGCCCATCTCTTCGTCGTACCCTTCTCCGGCTTCAGCTGTTGCTCCGACGCTGCCGTTCTCCCCAAGCAGCACTCCGAATCCCGGGGGTGCTGTGTTAATGGATATCTTGAACGGCCAAAGTCAACAGCCTCCGCCTTCTTCCAGCCTCACTCTGCCCTTCTCTTCAGCTTCCTCAGCTGCTGGGGCCTCCACTGTTCTGTCAGCCTCTCCTGTGAGTATAGCTTCCCCAAACCAGCAACAGGGCCCTTCCCCCGTGAGGTTGCTCAGCACTAAGCTCCCCAAGGGCCGCCATCTGATTGGGAATGATGTTGTGTATGATATTGATGTGAGGATGCAAGGTGAGGTGCAGCCTCAACTTGAAGTTACTCCCATCACTAAGTATGTTTCGGATCCTGGGCTCGTGCTTGGCCGGCAAATTGCTGTTAATAGGAACTATATTTGTTACGGTCTCAAGCCTGGTGCAATACGCATCCTCAACATCAATACTGCATTGAGATCCTTGCTAAGGGGGCATAACCAGGTTATTTCTCCTCCTCTAGAATCTGTTGCTGATAAGTTCCTTCTTATTGCTAGTTCGTACAACGTTTGATTCTTTCTATAATTGTGCCTCCCTTCTGTTGGATGATATAGTTTCGCTAAGTGTTTAATGTCCACTAGCTTGCTAGCAACTACTATATCACTTTATCATATTGTTGTCCCATCTTTTTTGTTTTGTTTTGTGTGTAATACTAATCTATAGGGCCTCATTGGTAAGTGCTACCAGATCTCGTGCATTCCATACTAGAATCTTTATCATGATTTATGGCAGACTTCAGTCATCTTGTTATCACAAACTGTGCTAACGTGTTGAAGGAGAGTTAATCTTCCATGGAATCAATGTAGTCAAAGCGAGTTTTTACGTATAGACGCTTTGGTGATCTAGAAGCGTAAAATCGTAAGTTTTTAACTACATAAGTTATAAAACTGAGATTTTGTGTAGAAGCGTTCTAGTGATCTAGAAACGTAAAATCGTAAGTTTTTAAGTTTTAAAGCACGATTTTGACTACATTGCATGGAATATGTTCAAGTCCTCCAAAGAAACTCAAATGGTTAGTTATTCAGTTGGCTTTTTTAGCGCGCTTCACGGTTGATTGGAGGATCTTTTGGTCTAATTATTCATGTTGGAACTCTTACCTGGTCGTATTAGAGGGTAATTTAATCTTTTGGTATTTTATGGAGTTATTGCCTCTTATTGGATGATGCAAGCGTATTGTGTATACAACTATGACTGATTGATTCTTTGGTTGAAAAATCCTTCCCTCCTACAACATGCTTTCATTTTGGCGAGTAATTTTACAGCTCTAATATATCTACGTTCTCTTAATGAGGCACATTTCTGTTTCTTGGGCAATGAGCTATGTACATATCCTTGTCTTTGTCATATTTAATCTCTGAACCCCAGGTTTGATGTACCAAGTTCTGTTTTCTGTGTTTATTCTTTAATCATTTCTGTGCTATTTTTCATTGTGCAGAAAGTGACAGACATGGCTTTCTTTGCTGAAGATGTTCACTTGCTTGCCAGGTAGCCTTCTGCATTGTTACTCTTCCATCTCCACGTTTCACGTTGGCTTAAGTACTAACTTCCATATCTTCAGTGCATGTGTCGAGGGTCGGGTTTTTGTGAGGAAGATCAATGAGGGTTCGGATGAAGAAGAAAAGCCTCAAATATTTGAACAGATTATCCTTGCACTTCAAATACTTGTTGACGGAGGACCAGTCCATCCACGTGTCTGTTGGCATCCTCACAAACAAGTAATGTTGTATTAGCTACCTAGGAAGTTGTTTTTATGTTACTCATTGTATCGGCATGCTTCGTTATTAGAGTTCTGTATAATACCTGACAAAAAACCTTGTTTATTTTCATTTACAGGAAATCGTCATGGTTGCAATTCGAAATTGTGTACTGAAAATTGATACTCTTAAAGTTGGTAAAGGCGATAGGTTTTCAGCAGAGAAGCCTCTTTGCTGTTCCATAGATAAGCTGATTGATGGTGTGCAATTTGTTGGTAAACATGATGGCGAAGTTACTGAGTTATCAATGTCTCAATGGATGATTACCCGTTTAGCTTCAGCGTCGTCTGATGGAACGGTTTGTCTTTTTACATTTCTCCATTCTTTGAACTCTAATAGCTACTCGACATCACTTGAAACTATCTGGAATACCTCAAAATTTTCAGCTGGTAAACAAGCTTCACCTCTTCACTTTCTGCTGTTAATTTATTTATGTTAGGATTACTTGATGACAGATTCTCTGCATGCTTTCTGCTGTCATTTCTTGTGTTCGATTTGACATGTGGCTGTTAGTTAATATTTTTCGGCTTCAATCATATTTGAAGCTGTGATTCCCTAAATAAATATAATCATTTGCTTGTTTGTGGTGACTGAGATGATCGATATATGGTTCTATTTGCTCTTACTCATTAAGTTATATTGTGGCAGGTTAAAATTTGGGATGATCGCAGGGTGACACCACTTGCAGTTTTGAGGCCACATGATGGAAATCCTGTAAATTCTGTGGCATTCTTGACTGGCCCTCACCGACCAGATCATATCATACTCGTAACTGGGGTATTCCCTTTGTCTTCGATGGCTAGATTTTGCAATATTATACTGGACTTCTCAAAATATAGAATGATTTATTTCGATGTTCATGGTTCTGGTAGTGAGAAACAAGAACCAGAAGCGTTGTAGTAGGGAGTGCAGTTTATATACATACACATTCTGTCGTGCTTGCTTTTTTCCATATAAATATGTCCTGATCTAAATGCAAGATACTTAAAAATAGTTTTGCCTTATTTGCAGGGTCCACTCAACCAGGAATTGCGGGTATGGGCTTCCTCGAGTGAGAATGGATGGTTGTTACCCAGTGATTCTGAATTGTGGAATTGTACTCAAACGTTGACTTTAACTTCAGCTGGGTCTAATGCAGAGGATGCATTCTTCAACCAAGCTGTGGCTTTGCCTAGGGCTGGTTTGTTTCTATTGGCAAATGCGAAGAAAAATGCAATTTATGCGGTTCACATCGAGTATGGGTCATGTCCAGCTGAAACTCGCTTGGATTACATAGCTGAGTTCACCGTTACAATGCCCATTTTGAGTCTTACTGGAACTAGTGACAGCTTGCCAAATGGAGAACACATAGTGCAAGTGTATTGTGTACAGACACAAGCTATCCAGCAGTATGCACTGGACTTGTTGCAGTGTCGGCCACCTCCCATAGAAAATGCTGAATTGGAGAAAACAGAAGCTAATGCCTCTCATGCTCTTGATGCTGTGTCTGGTGTAACCGAATCGCCTATTGGGAATAACCCCATCGAGATACCTGCAGGCAACACAACTTCTGCACCACCTTCATATGCAAGTGTCGTGGTGAGTGCTTCAATTGCATCTCATCATGAAAACTTGGGATGTCCTGACGATGCCAACTTGCCTCCGATGCCTTCTTCAGGTCTTGATATCAAGACTACCACCACGGTCCATAGTAATGTTGAAAGTATTAGCATCTTGACACCACCGCCTCCTTCAAGTCCTCGGTTATCTTCCAAACTGTCTGGTCTTGAGAACTCATCAAATAGCACAGATACCAGCTTACCTATCACTGATCGTGGTGGGGGACATCCCTTGACAGATTATTTGCTTAGCCATAGACCAGAATTACAGAAGGATAATGTGCCTGAGAACTCTCACTTGAATGAAAATGTGAGGAAGGGTGAGAAAAGCATTGCACAAACTGATATTGGAATGGTGGTGGAGCATTCAACAGTGTTTAAGCACCCTACACATTTAGTGACTCCATCAGAAATATTATCGAGGGCTCCATCTACGGATAATTCCCTTGTTTCTATGGGAATGGCAACCGGAGAGCCTAAGGTGCAGGATGTGATTGTCAACAATGATACAGAAAGTGTTGAAGTTGTAGATGTTAAAGTAGTTGAGATGGGAACCAAGCAAAATAGTGGATTTGACTTGAGCAGAGAATCCCATATTGTCCCCGAGAGAAAGGAAAAGTCTTTCTATTCTCAGGCTTCTGATCTTAGCATTCAAATGCCCAGTGATAGTGGCCCTGAATCAAATGCTACAGGGGCTGCTCTGCAATCTAATGAGGATATTGTCACCAAGTTACCTGACAGACCTGTGAACAATGCTGAAGCTGGCGAGCGAGACACTACAAAAGACATGACACAGAAAGTTACTGAGTCAGAAACTTTCCAAACAGTTCTGCAGTCACCAGCCCCAACAGTGAAAGGGAAAAAGCAGAAGGGAAAAAATTCTCAAGGAACTGCACCACCTTCAGCATCTCCAAGTCCGTTCAATTCTGCGGATTCGTCCAATGAACCAGGCTGCAGTTCTGCTCCTCAAGTCAGTGGTGCTGATATCTCCCAGCTAGCAGCCATGCATGATAAACTCGAACAGGTATTTGGAACAGGAGTCGGTACCCATCTTATTTGCCATTCGGTGTGCAACTGTTTGGAGTATCCGGAGTTCTCTTCTTATTTCCCGCTTTATTTATCTGGGTTCTGTTGCTGGTTGGTGGGTGCAAAGCTGTATGAGGTTTGATATGATCAGATAATGGAGCAGTTGGTTATTTTATGTGTATTTTAACATCTAGTAGACTATCTTACCACATGCATAAAGCAAGTATGATGAAGCTAGGAAAAAAGTCTCGGTAATGATTAGGACAGTTTAGCAGGGATACTGTATGTATTTAATTGCGAGTTAATCCTTAATTGCTTTAATTCAAAAACTCAGGATGCCTCTTTTTTCTTCATACTTTACATCCTTACGACTGTGGCAATTAGTTGCGTTTGTTTTGATGGTTGATGATCAACAAGTAGAAAAGCATTTAGATCCTTCCCATTCAAGATTAATGATGGTTTGGTTGTTTCGACAGTTGATGAATATGCAGAAAGACATGCAAAAACAGATGAATGCAGTAATTTCAGTCCCTGTTTCAAAAGAAGGTAAAAGACTAGAGGCATCCTTGGGCCGGAGTGTAGAAAAAGTTGTAAAGGCAAATACAGATGGTCTGTGGGCTCGGTTACAAGAAGAAAATGCAAAACGCGAGAAGTTAGACCGAGAACGGTACCAGCAATTGACAAATTTGCTTACAAATTTTATGAACAAGGATTTCCCATCTGCTTTGGAGAAGGTTCTGAAGAAGGAATTGGCTGGTGTTGTACCTGCTGTAGCTCGTGCGGTTACTCCTGTTCTAGAGAAGACTGTATCATCAACTCTTGCAGAGTCATTCCAGGTTAGTTAAGTGTCAAAGTTGTTCTTGATCTCTATGTCTTCAGATGTGCTTGGGTAAAAATGGGACTAAGGCGATCGTCATCTCTATTTAAATCACTTGTGAATTTGCATTAGTTATTATTCACCTAGGTTTACTATACATCTAAACAATAGGGGATGGTCGATATACGCTGTTCTGCTCTGCATTTCCTGAACTTTGTTAATTTGTGTTCCTACTTTGCAGAAAGGGGTTGGAGAGAAGGCTGTGGGCCAACTGGAGAGGTCTGTTAGTTCAAAAATGGAAGCGACAATTGCAAGGCAAATCCAGTCACAATTTCAAACTTCTGGCAAGCAGGCACTGCAGGTATTGTTGTTTCTCCACTGATCCCATCTGTTGCTTCCATCTTAGTTAGGATCCCTGTTTGATTGATTATAAAACTTATATATGCTTCCTTCACGGGAACAAAACTTTGTTGCAGGAGTCATTGAGATCTAGTCTGGAAGCTTCAGTAATTCCTGCATTTGAGATGGCTTGCAAAGCTATGTTCGATCAAGTTGATGCTACATTTCAGAAAGGACTTTCCAGTCATATCAATGCTGCCCAGCAGCAGTTTGATTCCACACATTCTTCTCTAGCAGTTGCTCTTAGGGTATGTTCATCTCTGAAGCTATGATGCTATGCAAGCTGCAAGCGAGTTTATTTATTTGCCGTTAACTCAGGATGAGGGTGTTTTGGACAACTGTAGGAAGCTATCAGTTCAGCATCTTCAATCACTCAAACGTTAAGTGGAGAGCTGGCTGACGGTCAGCGCAAGCTCTTAGCTATTGCAAACTCCAAAGCTATTCAGCCGTCTGCTTTGACTAATAGACCGTTGTCAAGTTTGCATGAGATGGTATGCCTTTTACTCCTTGATGTCTGTCTAGTGGCTTTAGCTGAAAGTGGAGTGATCCTCTTGCCTCTACTGTTGCTCTTTCCGGTTAGAATTTTGGTGTATATGACTGCTTTTAATTTGGTATGTATGCATTATATCAGCAGTCTGAGGCACCATTAGATCCTACGAAAGAACTATCTAGACTGATTGCTGAAGGCAAGTATGACGATGCATTTCATAAAGCTCTTCATAGAAGCGATGTGTCCATAGTATCCTGGCTATGCTCACAGGTACCAATGCTTTTAAAAGATTAGTTGTGGAGTTTTTTTTATCTGAAGTTGGTTGGCTGACAGTTTCTCGGATTTCTGTGAGCAGGTTGATTTGAAGGGGATATTGTCCATGTCACCACTACCTTTAAGCCAAGGAGTAATCCTGGCACTGCTGCAACAACTGGCGTGTGACATCATCAACGAGACCACAAAGAAGGTATCATGGATGGCTGATGTGGCGGTGGCCATCAACCCTGCAGATCCAATGATCTCTGTGCACGTGAGACCCATCTTCGAGCAGGTGTATCAGATACTGAATCATCACAGGAATCTACCCACAACTTCTTCAGGGGATGCTTCCAACATCCGGCTTCTCATGTATGTCATTAACTCCGTGCTGATGAACTGTAAATGAAAAGAATGAGGGGGAATGGGCGATGATCAGCGAGTCTTTTGATCACATGTCACTCTTTTGTTTTATGTTTAAGTGGATTGTCCGGAGCTTCCATTGCTACAATGCTCTGTGTAGGAAAAGAAAGTATGTAAGATATAGAATAGGAAGTTTTGGATGTGTATAGGAATATGGAGTTTACTTGAGTTTCCAGGAGGATTAGGGATTTGTCATCCATTATGAATTTTGAAGGCTATATTCATCACAGATTTTGTCCGATCTTGAAAGTTATATTCATCACAAATTTTTGTCAATTTTTTTATTGGCTACTCTAGATTGGTTTTTGTCTCTTTTCTATTAGTTATTTTTGGCCGATTTTGAAGACCATTTTGCACTGATTTTGACAGATTTTTTAAAGCCTACTCTTGAACGATTTTGAAAATTTTCTTCTTTTATACTTGACCAATTTTAGCTTTCAAGATTTTAGGGTTAATTGCATGTTTGGTCGGTGAAATTACAAAAAATGTTCATATTTGGTCACTAGAAATATTTAATTCTGTTCGTGGTCATTAACTTTGCATTTTTGTTTCATTATTGGTCACTCTCCGTCCAACTTCGTTAAGTTTGTCCTATGTAGCAGCCAACTCTATTAGTTGATTGTTAAATGAATGATGTGACAAATAAAAAATTTAATAAATTCCACCTCGGCGCGCACAGGTACATGTTCCCGTAGTAGTTCTTATTATTCTCACCATCGTCTCCTACGATCATGATCTCCACCAGCTTCTCCCCGGACACCTTGACCGTGATGGTAGTCTCGAACTCGCAGTGGACCAGCTCCAACTTCTCCATATTCGGCATGGACTCAAAAGACTTGTGAATGCAGCGCTCCTGGTCGGAATACACCGCCACGGTTCGGGTCGAGGTGGGTATTACGCAACGGCAGAGGCGGAGCGAGGTCAGGTTGGGAGATTAGAGGACTCGGCGATCAGTTTGTGGAGATCGAATTTGGCGAAGATTTCAAGGTTTTTGACAATTGCGCAGAGGGAGGTGAATTTTTGGGGGAATGGATTAATTGCGGTGGTTAGGGTTAGGTCGGTGAAGTGGAAGGTTCGGGCGCGGTGGGTTGAGCCGTAGGAGTAGATCCGATCGAAGAGATCATTTGATTCGTGGTCGGTGGGCGGCGAGGGAGAGGGTCGAGAGGTCGGCGGAATCGAGGTCGCGGGGGGTGAGGATCTTCTCGACGAAGAGGCAGAAGCGGTTGGCGTCGGCCGGAGGGGAGGAGGCTTGGAAGTGGAGGGAAGTGAGGGTTGATTTCCAGGCGGTGCACCAGCGGGTGGAGAGGAGGGTGGTTTGGACAGCGACTCGGGTGTCGTACTGCTCCGCGATCTTGGATTCGTGTCGTAGATGCTGTTGCTTCCTATGCTGTAGGGGCACTGTTAATGCAAGTATGCTTTGCTTCTGGGCACATGAAGTTGATGCAGTGCAATTGGTGATTTTGTCAAGCTCGGGCCTAATTGCTACATTGTTTAACCTAAAGAAATTCACATGAAAGCAGAGAATATCGTGGTTTTTTGCTTGTTCATCTTGAAATGTTAGATACAATCAATCCAATGGGATTTGGACAGGTGAATTAAGAGTATCAACCTCATACATTATTCAGCAAAGTACATCAATCTGAGGCAGCTCGTGTCGTCAATGTGCTCGAACAACGAGCTCTTTCAGCAGGTTTCGACAGTAATCGAGGAAGTTTCTGCGTTTGCACAATTGCCTATTGGCGTTGTGATCCATTGCATGCGAAAGGGTGCACACCTATCGAATGATCGTTAACCATACCCACCACGCTCTGCCCCTTGAACCTTTACCTTTACCTTTGCGGAGATGAGATCCGATGAAACAGTTTGTCTGGACCCAGGTGGTCTCCGGCGACGCAGGTGGGAAATGGTGGTGTTTTTAAGGGAGGTGGCTAATGTTGGGGCAGGTGGAATTTATTAAATTTTTTTTTTGCCATATCACTCATTTAACAGTCAACTAATAGAGTTGACTGTTACGTAGTATAAACTTAACGGAGTTGGACGGAGAGTGACCAATGATGAAACGAAAATGTAAAAAGTTAACGACCACGAACGAAATTAAATATTTCTAGTGACCAAACATGAACGTTTTTTGTAATTTCAGTGACCAACCATGCAATTAACCCCAAGATTTTATCTGATTTTTTGTCTGTTATTTATGTTGATTTAATGATTTTGAAGGTTAGGACTTTGCTACGGTGACATGCATGTTACCATAACTTGCACTTTTTGGTCGACTTTATATAGGATTAGGTCGACCTAATATGTCGTTACAGTTTTGTGAGGTTCAACGACGCGGTTGACCTTATATAGCAAATGATCGACCTCTTTGGAAGCGAACAAAATGAAAGATCGACCCAAATACCTCATAGGCCGACCATTTTGATAGACCGAGGTCGACCGCATAAGTACGAGGTCGACCGCGTGCACAACGTATCCGTATTGGATAAGGATTCCAACACCAGAAAGGTAACCCTAACTTATCTACCACTTAATTCTACCCATTCTCGTCCTTAATATATGTAAATATGAATATATGTCACCTTCACCGCCACCGAAACTCTGAATTAGGTTATTTTATGGTTAGAGCTTTTGTGAAGAAGATCCTTTGCGGTTGCTGCTGTACGTGATTCAAGAGGTCGACCACGTGGAAGTTATGAGTCCTTGTTATCATTATTTATGACTAATTCTGCTGGTTTAAAATGTAATTTGTACGAGCAAAAGAACCACCCACATCGACATACATAAGCAAAGAAGACGGAGCACATAGGTTGATTTTCTTGTATTCGATCGACCTCGTACCGGATTAGGTCGACCGCGAAACCAACACTTGATCTTCATTTTACGTCAAATGATGATGGATAAATGGATACACCACTTCTCTTCTATTTGGTCGACCTCTCTCTGTAAATGGTCGACCATTTTTGTTAATGACCGCCATCAAGTGGTCGACCTATATACCTTTACGGTCGACCATTTTGATTCTGACGCCAATGAAAAGGGAGACCGATGTTTGATTGTGATCGACCAACAATGACAACTTAAACTACAAACTGTCGCCCACTACATTGTAAAGGTCGATCGTGATAAGTCATCAGGGTGCCCACATTAGTGTATTCGGGAACCTCACAAAACTGAAACGACATATTAGGTCGACCTAATCTTATATAAGATCGACCTAAAATGCAGATTAGGTCGACCTAATCCTATATAAGGTCGACCTAAAAGTGCAAGTTAAGGTGACATGCATGTCACCATAAGCATACCCTGAAGGTTATTCATCACATATTTACTGATTTTTTATTGGCTATTGTTGAGCTTTTTTAAAGGTTAGTCGTGATAGATTTCGGTATTTTCTATGGTTATTCATGACCGATATGGAGTGTATTCTTCACATTTTTAGGTAGATTTTTTTGAAGGTTATTCTTTTTAAACAAAAGGCTCAAAATGGCTACAAAGGTTGTTTTTTTGGCTGCTTGCTTGTTCTAGAAGGCAGCTTACTTCGTAGCAACTTCGAGCCTTTTGTTTGAAGCCTTCCAGATATCCAATCTTTTATCCAATGCTTTGGATTCGTATACAAACATACCTAATTTCACGTGGTAGAGGCCCTGGACTCGGCTCTCATCCGTGCTTCTTGAATTGAGCTTCAAAGTAGACTTCACAAACACATTCCCAGACTTGGCAATTTTCAGGCAGTTTCCCAGTTTGACATAGTCTTTTGATAAGGTTCAAAAATGGTATTCTAGACTTCCTATAGAGTTCCCAAGTACTTCGATGTGTAGAGGGACACTCCAATTTCAAAACAAGTCATTAATCTAGTGTAGATCTACCCAATTGTAAGATATGAATCTCCAAAGTAGGCACCATGAAACTGTTTTTGCACTGAAACAACATATTAGGCCGACCTAATCGTAACTGAGGTCCACCGGAAAGTGCAACTCACCGTAGCAAAGTACTTAAGTCTATTAATCACCTATTGGCGCAGATTTTCCCGTGCCATTTGTGGCATATTCTAAATAGGCACTAACAGATTTCTAGCGATTTTTTAGAAATACCATTTTTCATGGATTTTTGAAAGCTACAGATGACAGATTCGGCCTGAGGTGATCGAGAATCGATTGGAGTTCATTCGAGCACGATTGGAAAGCATACGAGCAAGAAGGGGAGAAAAACACTGGTAACGGCCACAGGTCATTGCCCTTGATTAGGCTGTGACGATGATCCTGATGATCGTGGTCACGATCAGTGGTCGGGAACTGCAGCAGGCGACCATGAAGAAGGCAGAAAGTTTACTCAACAGAATCATGAACATGGTGCATTTTGACAGCGAAAAAGATCGCGCTAGGGACACAAAAGATCACGAAAGCAATCTTAAGAAGGAGGCCCCGATCTTGGAGCTTAAAGACGGAGCAAAACGCTTCTTTTCGGGTGAGTCTGACACTTTCTAGCAGCCAGCAGGTCACGGCTTGGTTACGACCGTGACCACTAGGTAACGCCCTAGAGGCCTTGACCGCCATCAACTTTCTATAAATACCCCTCTTGCTGCATTTTTTAAAGGGGAGCCTCCCTAGAGTGAGAAAGTTAAGGTTTTGGAGTGTTTTAGATAGGGAAACTCCTTGTGAGAGTTTTATTGAAAATCCATTCAACCCAAGAAGCAAGGAGAAGGTGTAAGCAAGGCGAAGAAGTTTGATTCCATCATTCTCCTCTTCAAGTTTGTGTTTTCTTCCTCTCTCTAATGACTTGGAATTTATAATGGTTGTTTGGGGAAGATGAACCCTGCTTTATAGGTTGTGCACGAATCAATGTATTTATCTAGTTAATTTTATTACTATTCTAGCATTGATTGTGTTAGGGTAAGTCGCCCTAATATTTTTTACTAGCTACTTTACGCTACTACGATGGTTTTGGAGTTTTAGAGTTAGACGGGTATGCGCCATCAAGCAAATCGAG